TTTGAAACAACAAAGTACTTTCATCACCAATTAGTGTATACTTTCGAAAAGCAACCTAAATACTTGTACAGGCCCTACAGTGAATGAAATAACAATAAATGTATATGTCAGTACCAACAATTAATGAAATGAGTGGAGCATGTGCCGCCGTTAGTTTCACAAGACACGACTCCAACACAGTTCTACCCTATTTACATCGACATAACTTATGTAACAGCATACAATTACTTAGATTAACAAAATTATGTTGCATTCTGTTGCCTCATTGTTGACGTTGCAACAGCCGGCAACACAAGATCGGTGCTAGTGATAAACACATTTGCTTGTGCAGAAAAATGTCGAGATGTCGTAAAAGTCGATTGATTTGCGTGTTAATTGAAGGATTAAAGGTGTACATAATAAAAATTTATGATATACTGATCGTAAAGGCTACGTTTCAAAATATTCGTAATTGCATGGATTTCTGATGTTCATTTTTGTTATAGGTATGTGTTTATGTTATCTGTGACAAGCTGGCCACTTTCAATGGGGAAACGTATTTATGTTCATATTTTGGTTTGAAAATTATATGAGTGTGTTTCTGACTTGGTTTAATTCACACTATAAATAATTATTGAATTACTAGCTGACCCGGCAGACTTCGTACTACCTCATCGATAAATAAAAGACCTAATATTTTGTATAAAATGATTTTAAAACAAACCAATCGAATTATATAACAATTTAAAAAGTTAATGGTATAAATGCTATAACCAGTTGATAACCTCTAAGTAAGAGCTTATCAACTGGTTATAACTGGTAGATTAGGGGCGATTTTTCAATCAACAGTTAGTTCTTAATTGTCGAATGAAATTGACAGTTTATTGTAAGGAAGGATTGTCATATGTGTGTATTCAAAGTTAAATAAATAATCTTCTGATAAAATTACACTGGCGTTGGAAAAATCGGGGCTAAGCTAACAAAGCTATCTTTTAGTAAAGTTTCATTGACACATTTGTTTGGAGTTGATCTCAAACATATTTGGACACTACATCATAATATCTTTCACCCTTCTTACTAAAAACTTAGAGTTAATAAATGTAACTATGTTCACAAGGGACCACAGACAGGTGTGGGTAGTAGTCGCTTTTCGACAGTTGGCCATTAAACTGGTTTACAGTCAATATTGCATGCTCGGTCTTGACCTGCATTTTGGTGAATGGATGTACCTACTTACGTAGAAATGGGAGCCATTTCTCTTTCTTAATTATTATAGTGAGCATATTTAAGTTGTACAATTTTCTTTGGTCGCATTGTCGTAATGGCGGTCTTGGAACACGAGGTCTTGAATTCAAACTTGATATATGTAATTATGTTTTACAAAGGATATTCTTTAATGTTGTCAGCATAGCATTTTTCATATGAAAGGTATCAGGCTGGGCTATACAAAATTAAGAGCTCATTAATTTTACTCGAACCTCAAAATTAACAAAAGAACATAAGAGATACCTATCCAATACTTAATTCTCAGAAGTAATAGAATAATTATCAATGAGAGATAGCAGAAACTTTGTAGATAAACATACATACATAACATCACGCCTTTTTATCCCCGAAGGGGCAGGCAGAGGTACACAATTCGGCACTTAATGCCACTGTACAATGTAACACCCACTTTTCACTATTTATGTTATAAGTCCCATGTAATAGGGGGTGAGCCTATTGCCATATACCGGGCACATTTCCAGACTCTGTGCTACTGAGATTTTTTTTAAAACCCAGTAATACTTTGCCCCACCCGGGAATCGAAACCGAGACCCCTTGCCCGGCAGTTGTAGTTAAACGTCATAGGTAAATGAACCCCACAGTCTAGCAGTTTACTATCACAGATTATCGAAGAAGAAGCAAATTTTAACATTTGTTCATTCTCGGTTCGATCTCTTTGTCTGGATTGTGGTGTTACATTGTTTTCGCACAATCGAACCGACAAAACTATGTACCAAGAGTATTGTGAGCCTGATTGAAAAACAGTAACCTATGAAGTTTCTTACTTGTTCTTCGCCTTATGAATCTACAGTTTGGAATGAATCAAATAGCTTCACTTTAAATTTGTGTTGACGTTCAAAATTGCCGTTCTGATCTTACTGAAATAAATGATTTTGACTTTGACTTCTCATTGATTTTTCAACAGAAGTAAAGTTACCAATAAACATGAAGACATTGCATAATTATGTTTGTTAGCTTACTAACAGCTAGTGAGTGGCCTTGAACTCAAAGTTACAGTGTTTTAGTAATATTAACTCTTCCGATAAACAATTAATGTCCATGTGAATATGAATATGTAGCTGTCGTGAACTTTTGCTGTTGTATATAAAAACGACAAAGTTCTTAGAACTTAGTGTTTAGCGGAAACGGTTCAATCTTCCAGTCCAATAACAATGAGCAATGCGTTGAAGGCGACATAATGTCACTTAGAAACGATCGTAGTACCAAAAATCATTGGGTTATTAATGTGTGCGTGTGTAATGGGTTACCACGTTACCAGACTGAAGAAACTGACAGATGTATTTCGTGTCAATGTGTATATGTTCTATGTGTTACTTTGTACGTGTAATAGTTACCTAGTGCCACAGACGGTGTCCACCTTTTTTTCAACATCGCATCCTTTAACCACCAATGCATCATCAACAGCCTATAAATGCCCACTGCTGAGCAAAGCCTCTTCTCACACGGAGAAGGTTAGAGCATTAATCACCACGCTTGCTCAATGCGGGTTGGCGATTTCAAACTTATAATTAGAAATTATAAGTTCAGGTTTCCTCACGATGTTTTTCCTTCACCGTTTGTCAGTGGTGTCTAAATAATCTTAGAAAGTACATATAACTCGGAAAAAGTCACATTGGTACTTGCCGTTGGTAGGTTTCGAACCCGCACCCTCATGCATGAGAAGTGGGCGTCTTAAACCTCCGGGCCACCACGACATTACCAATGCATCAAATGAAATGAAATCCTCTTTCGCTATACCCCTTAGTTAATAAAATTGTCAAGACAAGATTTGTACGAAGGTAAACAAATTCGACACTTTCACCGGGTCATCGAGAAATAGGACTCAAACAAACCCGTCACGAATTACTAGCGAAAAAAGAAATAAACTCTTATTGAAATTCAATCACCTTCGTGCAGCATCGAGTGTCACGAAATTGCAAGTAAAACGAGACCTTTTTCGGTAATCACAATTGGATTGCATCACTAAAACTGATCCCAATATTATCCATGCATTGCTTAAACCTTAGTCCAAAACAGTTGCTTAACTTCTCGAGTATATGGGAGACAAAACGATTACTCGATTGTCTGTCACTCAGTCGATAGTTTGCGAACATGACTAGTAAGGTTTTGCAAGCGTTGTGAAAGAACGGATACCTATACGAAGGACATTTGTCATATTTACATGAGATCTTCGATGAACGCAGTTTAGCTGTTACTTCAAGTGTTTCAAGATGGTACCTCTATTGTTACATAAGTTGCCTATCCTAGACAGCTTAAGATATCTACCAATGACCCAGGCTATTACTTAAGGTGGATTAAGAGTTGTATGTATATTAACACGTCAACAGTAAAGACAGCGACAATAAGTGAGTTCGTAACTCAATGTTTCCAAAATGAACTCCCTGAGAAAAGTATCAAACTGAGATTCACATACAATCTCATTTAAAGCACAACGTAAAATAAAGTGACTGTAGTTGTATCGATAGAACATAAAACAAAATTAGAAGCTTATTAACATTTTACTCGAACCTCGAATATAATACCAAGAGTACATAAGAGATACCTGCCAATACTTAATTCTCAGAAGTAACAGAATATAGAGGTATCAATGACATATTTAAAAGATGGTCTATTTACGTATTGTATACATAATTCTTTAATGGTCTATCTAATGCAAAAGAAAAATCTTATCAAACAGAAATTTCCTACAAGATTGTACGCGTAATATTACAAAATAAATCAATCGTACAGGCACTACCCATTATAACACAGCAATCGTGGGTTGAGATACTTTAATATTACTCAAGCTTTACAAATTATAGTGGGTTGGTTGATCCAAACCTATTCAAACGGCGCGCCGTGTCCGCCATTATAAGACGTCGTGATGGCGAAATAAGTGCAGAGAGATATACCTCGTGATTCAAAGGAGCCTAACTACGCATAACATCACGTCTTATATTTCCTGAAGGAGTTTAGAAATCTACTTAGATACCTACTTAAGTACTAGTATTCAAGTATTTTACGCGTAGGTTTATATGGTATGAAACATAACCTGAGAATCAAACCGGCATATCCAATATCCCGGCATCATAATGACAGTAATTAGGAACAGGACCAGAGTTTCAGAATCAAATGTGCACCATCACATGTGTTTGGATTTCGTTAGTAAGCTAACCTTAATAAAATAAATAGTTCTTGTCTAGAGATACAGGCAATGTCGCCTCTTGTCCGCCTCCCTTCTATCAGGGAAGATACTGGTACACTCACAATTATAGTTCACTAGCAGAATTATTTCACATCGCTCATTTCCGTTGAACAGTCAGTATCTATATCTTTCGTGTCTAATCAGGTACTTGTAAAAAACTGTAATCTCTGCCTCTATCCATTAGGAAACAATAGCATTAGCATGAATGGTGCAATATTATCAATAAGGTCACATCAAATGCCTTCCAAGTAATCTTGACTTGGTTTTATGTAACCTTTAGTCCTCACCTTCCAACAATGCTGTTTTCCCTATAACGGTATTAAAAGAAACAATGCCATTTATTTCCATTTACTGATTTTTCCTTAAAATATCTTGATTGATGGATGTAGATGATGCAAATTGCAAGTCACCATAATGATATAAGAATATTGAAATTTAACGTTGTAATTTATGTCTACCACTCATCGCTGAAATTGCAAAGAAGGCTGCTGCGTGTCTCGTCATCTTTTGGAGAACCAGAAGTTTAACTTCGTTTTTTCTATCTTTTCAGATTACAAAACATGTCTAGAAGAACCGAAAAACGTTTCCTGACTGAAGCTGATGAGTACCAGTGCTCTCTCTCCGCAGACACACAGAAGGTAGCTGAGGATGAACTTCGGGAGACTGACAACTCCAGGTCACAGGCTTTGGCGGCACTCAGGAGCTGGATGGAGCAGAACTCCAAGTTTATGGCTATAAGAATGGGTAAGAAGACTTACGAAAGATTCAAGGCTATTGCTGAGGGCATCCGTTTTGTCACTCTTAGTCTAAATGTATGTATAGGCTGGAAATAGTCTTGCAAACGGAATATCAGTGTTGATCTAAACAGGGACTGGAAGCTGGTAATTTGGGGAACATTACAAACAGATGCCATTCCAATTCACGATTTAAACGACTTACCTTATGTATTATACTTTTAGATGCCAATTACTTACTGCGGTTCCTTCGTGCGAAGAAGTTCAGCGTTCCCATGGCTCAGGAGGCTATCGAGCGCTACATCTTGCTGCGTCAGTCTTGGGGTATTGCCTTCAACCAGCTGGACTACAAGCTACCAGTCATGATGGAACTTATTGACCTAGGGTGAGTAAACCTCCAATTCTTTGAAAATTTGGTATCTTTCAACAGCCATGGAGTATGGACTTTGGAATTGATTTGATTTTGCTGGGAAAGTCAGAATTTGCAAGTGTATTATGTGGAAGTATTAGCGGATGGATGTTCCATATCACACAGTCAAAATTACTGACGGATGGAACTGGACTTAACTTGGCTTTGAGATATATTATAGTCTGGAAATGCATACCGGCTATTGGACATCTCGGGAAAACGTAAGGTTTTCTGTTTTTCCCATGCAAACTAAAGTTTAATCGAACAAAATAAAGAGAAATAATTTTTGCATAGATTAACATTAGCGTGATGCTAGATGCTAGTATCTAATGATCTAAGTTACGCTTAGGTAAATCAGTTGTTATTCTCTCCAGAACATCTAAGTTATGGTGCATATCCGTGACTTAAGTAAAGTAAATATTAACATAACATTGTTTATTTTCTTTTACAGATACATATTTGTGAGTCCGTTCAAGGACAAGCTCGGTCGTCGCGTTGTCATATACAGGCCTGGTAGATATACAACCTTATGATAATCATCAACGAATTTCAAGTAGTATTCATTTTATATATTATTTTATTTAATAAGCATATTATATATGATATTACATATATTATACAGGTATTTATTTATATTGGTTGCGGTGAAGATTGATAAATCTGTCGTTTAAAAGATCTGCTTGATTGTATAATATTTAATTTATATCCCTTGCTTCTCATATAGCATTTACATAATGATAGACAGGTAAGTGTATACACATACACAATCATAGTTACATACCTACTTATTCATTCAGATGAAGAATCGTCAAAAATGGTGGACACTGTTCATCGGGTCTTCTGAATATATCAGCTCCAGAGCTCCAACACCAGTTATAGCATATTCCTAAGAAATAATTTATTTTCTCAACTACCTCGCAGTGCGCGGTGGCACGTGACCACTACGCTATTTTCTTCTCTGAGGTGTATAGGCTAGTCGCTAGTTGCAAGTGCCTTCAAGAATAACAGAACCTGCACTATTTATGGCTTATAACCTCATACACCAAGCAAGTTTTGCCTAAACACTTCATTCTACGTATTCGCACATCCATTATTAATTATAGAACCATACTATAAACTCATTGAACCGAATGCCATACTTTAATGAGGACTATCGTTTCGTTGCTCGATTCTAGATTGCGCTTAAGCAATGTTAAATGCATTGTATTCCGTTAAATAATCATATCAGCTACAAGAAGCCTACTGCTGAACATAGGTCTTCCCCAATTACTTCGAAATAGGTCTGTTGAAACCGATCTGCATGGCATATAATGGTATACCACCAGCAATTTCTTTATTGAACAAGACGTAAATTCTTGCTAGTATCCCCAAGTGGCGAATTCAGACGCGATAGTCCTCATGACCTATGTTGGTAAGCAGTATCTGATAGGTTTTACATTTGCAGGTGTGTTTGACCCCTACAAGTACACCAACCAGGACATGTGTAGAGTGATGGGCATCTGCTACGAAACCCTGTTGGAAGATGAAGAGAACCAGGTCCGGGGAGTAGTCCACTACGCTGACGGCAGTGGTGTCAGTTTCCCCCATCTCACCTTGTTCACTCCCAAGGAAGCTGTCAGGATTGTGAAGAATGGAGAGGTACCAACTTGTCATAGCTTTCTTTTTATAGGTAGCTTATTCACCGCGTGAAATGTTCGAGAAAATAATTTCAAATTAGGTTCATAGTGATGAGCCATGTGTGCGGCTGTCGATGACTGGAGTATACCTATATGTAGAACTTTCCTGTAACCTTTTGAAAATCTTGAACCAACTTTAAACGTAATTTTGCATTTCACAGCGTACTCTCCCGATGAGACACAAAGAGATTTACGGAGTCAACGTCCATCCTACAGTCAAGTTTGCACTGGACTTCGGCATGGGTCTCATCTCAGAGAAGATTAAGAAGAGAGTCAAGTTATACAGCGCTGTAGAAGATGTGGAGATTGACAAGAGTCTGCTGCCCAAGGAATATGGTGGCACCATGCCGATGAAGGAAATGATTGGTGAGTATTTTTAGAGCAGAATAAATGAGCAGATGAATTATCTGATCCTAAGCAATAAATGATGCAAAAGCACACTCGCTACTTTCGAAGATTAATGAGTTGTTGGTTTTTTTGGGACAGTTGTCAGATCTGTCGTCTGCAGCCTAAGTTCACATCACTTTTCCAGTTTATAACTCGAAATCTTATAACTGACATATATTTTTTTGCTAGATCTATGGAAAGAGGAGCTCGCCAGCAAACGTGACATTCTTCTTCTGAACGACAAAATGGCGGTCCGCCTTGAAATGTACAGCGAAGCGGCGCGAGAGGGCGCCATATCTGCACTGAAATCTGGCGCGAACACCTGCGCAGGCGCTGACGCAGTCGGAGACGCCATGAGAGGCCTCACAGGCAATTTCAGAAAACTTGAAGTAGACTAACTTGTTTAACATTAGAATATAGACTGATTGTTTTGTAATTTTAAGTACTTTAGCTAATAGATGTGATATAGGATCCCATTTTATTGGGTGCCTTTAGTTTTAACTTAGTTTACTTACTGTGGGAACAAAAATTAGAGCTGTCTAATATAGTAAAGACTGGATGAAAGTATAACAGCTCCTATTTTAGTAATCTCTTAGTTATGCCTGTTATTTTAACAAAAGATAAGCTAGCAATAAGTGTGGGTAAGTATTATGTAGGTTTAAGAAGAGTTTCCGTACAAACAAATTAAAAGGGGAATAGGAAAGCATAATGTTATGTCGAATTATTTTCTCATGTGATTAATAAAATATTTTTAAACAAAGTTTGTTTTAATAAAACACCAAGTTAGTTTATTAAATCGTTTATTAAAAATCCATTAACTACGAACAGTGGGCGGGCGAGTCCATCACTACGAAGTAGAGAGAGAGTCCATTCTACGAAGCAAATAATTACTAAAAAAATCTAGATTCTCCCTTCGTACTGATGGGCTCGAGGGCACACTGCATCAGTAAAAATTAATACACATGACTTGCACATCGTCATGTACTTATTATTATGTGTATTTATTTATTGCTATCGTTTGTTACTGAATTATTTTCGCACGTGAGTTTAATATTTTGTCGATCAAATGTGTATTCTTATTACTAGAAGTTATTGAAAATCTAGCTCTTGGAAAATGTTTTATATAGATTGTCATAAAGGTACCACATTCGGTTTAACTACAGTACTCAGAGATTTCTAATGATAACGTAAACTAAGGTAACAATTTTACTCTGAAAGCAACTTGCTAGGGACTGGAAATGTAAACATTAAGTACGACAATAAACTTGAAAAGTAGTAAATTGAAAAGCAACCAGAACATAATAGACCTAAAGTCGCAATTTCAAAATAACTTCACAAAGACACACATTTAACCGACAATTCGACCATAAGTCAAGAAGCCTTGCGCCTGTTTATATTTAAAAGGCTATAAAGTTCTAATGATCATGACCCTACCTTTATCTATGGCAAATACAGTTGAAATATCAACCAATATCATCATATTGTCATAATCATTTACTTTTCTATCGGCGAAACGAGCAAAAACAAGATGTTACTCTCTAAATTACACATATTGTTTAAAATATTTCTTTGTACGCATGCCTGAAGGTACTATTGGTAATATTAAAATTTGCGAAGGTCAATTCAAAAAGTTCACGTGCGCTCGCGAATTTGGCACTAAAGAGCAGAGTCTCTGAAAGCATTTGAAATTAAATATTAAAAATGTATTTGCATAATAAGAGGCTCTCAAAGTGGCTACAAATAGTAAAAGACAATATTCCTTGCAGTTGTGTCCCCAATGTACCTCTGTAACATCGTGTGATAGTGCGACTCAGTTATTTTCATTTCACCAGCCGTAGCCCACAGGTCTAATTGTAGACGAATCATTTAAAGTCTACAATTGCCGAATAAACAGTTTCTATAATGCACAGTACAGCTAGTCCGCTCCTTTACAAAAATATAGACACATTTCTCAGTATAACATTATTATAGATATATAAATATTATTGTAAATATATCAGTCGTTGGGTAATTGCTCGCTAGTTCATGGTAACAGCAATTCAAGGGGCGTGGCTGGCAATAGCCAATCTTTATTGCTCATATATAAAAGTGAAACCTTTTAATTTCCATTGCAATGGCCAAATGTATCTTTGAGAGCATATTTAAACAATTTCTTCATTATAAATATATGTTCATATTGTACTTAACTAGGCACTTTAATGTACAGAGCAACAAACTATAACTATGTGCATGCGACGACTTACAAAACTGTTCTACGCTATGTGCGAATCAATTCCTTATGTTCAAGGGGTCCTTTGGCACATTTGGGACTGGGTTGGTACTTCGCTAGCTAAATCCATCATAGATACACTTCTTAACATATGCAACGCAATTTAAACTATATACGCCTATATTCTGCATAAATATAGGATTCAAGTATCTAATATTTTTGGTTAATTTCATAAAATGTGCAGTGCTAGTTAATCTCTTTCATTTGGATAAAAGCGAATCAAATTTACTTAATTATCAGTCCATTTAGCCGTTGAACGAATTAATATCGAAGGATACCAATAATGGAGCTTTACTTAAAACGTACACGTGTGTTCTAAATACTTAAGTACAGAAAACATTGTCTATATTTGGCATAACTTACTTTTAAATTATAATATAATAATATATAATGTATAACATCAGTTAGACATCTGTAATAACAGTATAAACTTATTTATTATATAGGAATCCTTAAATTAAAATATTCAAGTTTTCTAATAGATTTGTTATAATGTAAATAGACTTAACTTTAATTCTCTAACAAAGGATAAATGACGCTTAAAAATAATTTGTATATAATAAAATGCTTGTTGGCACTTGATTTGGCAATCGTAAGTGTGTGGAGACGTTTCTTGAATATACTAGGTTATATAGGATGAAGGAAAGTACTTACGAAGCCTTTTCAAGGATGCTCGAGTAGTTTCAAGACACATTGGAGCTCATAATCATATGAGATGCATGCGTAGCGTACGACGTCACGCAGCTAAGTCGAAGTGTGTGTAAGTAAATATATTTTGACATAATTAGTGAAAATTAGGTTTTATACTTTGAAGCCACAGATACATTAGAGGACAAATGTCCTGCGAGGTGTCGCCAGCGGCGTTGGGTGGCGTAGCGCTACGTTGCCAGAATTTCGTCGACATGTCTGGCAACATCGGCGTCACTGTGGATATAAAGCGCGCGTTGTCGCCTTATATATAAGTCGAGCGAAATTGGCAGGCTTCGCTTGTCATGTCGTGGGAGATTTGTCTCCTAGTATCCTTGGCTTGTTTCATCCTAGATAACCTTAATATACAAGAAAACAGCTAAACAATACTTAATATTCAAACTATCTAAGTCTAAAACATTCTCTTTCAGTTCTAACATGTTATATAATATGTGTATGAGATGCAATAAAATATATTCCCTATAATAATATGCTGAGAACATACTTTTGCAATATATCTGTTTGTAAGCATGGATCGACATAAACAGGCACATGTATTGTATATTATTTGTTATTATCGTCAGTATATGGTTTTTAAAGTTATATACTACCTAATACATTGGTGTTTGGATTCGAATAGGTCGGTATTCATAAATCTAATACTGAAGCTAACAAAAATATTCAATTCTACCCACGACCTTTTGCATATGGCATGTGCCTACGATATCCATACAGAGTTTCACTCTTGTAGCCTTAGTAATAAGGTTCAATACTGAGTGTCAGTGTCACTTGTAGATATTTGTGCTTTATTTCGTTGTTCTATATTAACGTAGTCTATTATTGGAAGTATATGAGGTTTCATTATAATATCTATATGTATAAGTTAAGATATAGACGACACATTCATCTATGAAAAAATTACTGACCTTTGAACTTGATTTCGTTTGTGGTTACTATTTAAGTACAGTCAAACTAAATTGTTTTGGTACTGGGATCACAATATTTTAGTTCCTCGCTTGTAGTAAAAGAAACTTGATTTATTTATCATTCAATCGATTTCCATTCCTATTGGATTGTAATTAAGATTAAAATGGAGTGACACATATAGGTGGCATACTTGTTTTATACGCCTTTATTGAATAAACTATAAAGGTCATCTAGAAAGGAACTTCAAAAAGAAATAAAGTTAAGATATCGTGTGATATCTTTTTGGCAAGTATTTAATCACTTTAGCACTTATTGGAGCGACCAAGAGTGCAACTTGATCATTTAAAAATGACTACAACGTCATTTTTTCTTCGGATTACACGACATTCGATTGTTACTTCGCAAACTGCATAGGTTGGACGGTTTTTAATTACTACAAAACGTACAAGGTGAAATAAACCCTATTACTAATAAAACAAGATACTATCTATGATCATAATGAAATCGTTTGAAAATATGGTGCGCAGGCGGCGTTTGTACATAAAAATTGCTCGTGCGCATTCATGAAATACATGCCAGCTGCGAATGGCATTCGGTAAAAAAGAGAGATAAAATAATTATATGAAATATGCGATGATTATTTAAAAAATAATACTAATTACCGTCCATTACCTTTGCCTGAGACATAACAATCACGTTTCCTACCGACTAACTAGCTATTTCTACACGACGCCATTGTGGAACGGGGACCAACAATGGCCATTAAAGGAGTTTAATGGTATTCTAATTAAGTACATTGTACAGTCAACTGGGGGATCGGAAAGTTTAGAGAATGCGAAGGGTAATATTCCCATCATTGACATCATCAGCTAGAACACGTCGAATGGGGGGTCTTAGTACGAGATTGTTTTACGTTTAAGGCCTTGCGCCGCGTGCGCACATGCTTGCGTCCTGTTTCATCTAATCTCATAGATCAGCGTGTGACGGTGGCAGGTTGCATGCAGCGTTGTGTATGTGAACTTGTATGTTTGTAAACGTACCCACGACACAGGAGAAAATACCCAGTGTGGGGCAACGTTTTATTTAAAAAAAAATTACGGCTTACGTAAACTTCCGAAGATACTCGACTAATTACATGCCAGTCCAGGACTCATAAGCATATGAACTGCTTATGCGATCAATGCATGAAACGCGCGCAATTTTAAAACTAACCAGTCGAACAAGTTCGTTTAGTTTGATTAATTCATAAACAGAGTTATGAATCTCGTCAGTACTCTACACTGAAACTAATGAAAATGGAGGATGTTCGACTAGTTTCAAGCCACAGGGGGTTCATAATCATATTGTGAGTAGCATGCCTGGCAACCAAGTCGCACAGTCAACTCTTAGATCAACTAGCCAAACAATCTCAGACAGTTTAAGTTTAATAATACAAAATATGCGGCTTACGTAAACTTTACGAGCATGCACGACTAATTTCGAACCACCCCGGGGCTCATATTGATATGAATAATATGCGCAGTGTGCGCAGATAACTCTCAAGACCAACTAGTCGAATATACTCGGACAGTTTGAGAATGAGTAAGTTGTATATTTTAAACTCATAAAACTCATTGTTGAAGATGTTATATCCAATACAGAAACAAGAGAAAGTATGTTCCACGTACTGATAGGCTGATGATGAAGTTCTAAGTATAGGAAAATGGCAGTTGACGTAATATAGATGCAATGAGCAATTGTATTGCAAGATGGCGTCCAATCGACTAGTCTGCAAGTTATTTTGGGACACTTCCGTTCAGCTATGGATATCTCGTAGCTGATATGATGACAATGATAGATATTAACTCTTCTAATCTCATTTAGAATTATTATTATGG